AAAAAAAAAAAAAAAAAAAAAAAAAAAAACAGGGAAGGAAGGAAGAAAAAACCGCCCAAGATTACAGTTACAAATGTTAAACATGTGTGAGTCTGACCTCCATTTAACCAGAGGACTAGAGGTTTAGAAGCTGGATCAACTTCTGCTTCCACAAAATAGTAAAAGAGAGCTCTCTGTTTCTTCTGATCAACACTCACATAACCAGCAAACTGCTGGAAACACACTTGAGGCTGCCCAGGTAATTGAGTGATTTTTTCAGCTGATGACAAGGAAGAATAAGACTGCACCTTGGTGAAAAAGCATATTTGAAATAATAAAGCTATAGCTATGGCCAATGCCATGACTTTGGTTTCAGTATATGGAGCAGAGAAATTTAAGAGTACTGAGAGAGATATATAGAGCTGAGGCAGCTAAAATGCTACTCAGTTTGGGGCATTATAAAAAAGGTTGAACCCCAAACTTGAGTGCTCCCCCCTCCCCGCCCCTAGAGCTTTATGAGGAAGGTAAATCGCAGGATGTATCCTAACAGATCAGGGAACAAAAGCTGTCTGTACACTGCACCTACAAGGAATCCAATTCCATGTTTCAAGAATCAAACTTCCACACTGCGGCTGCCAGCAAGGCGTGAAATAACCTCACTCCTATCCTTTGTACCACTGGACTATGCCCCGGGGCCAGTTTGGGGCATTATAGAAAAGATGAAGTGCCCTTCTTTTGTCAACTTTTGTCGTCATTATTTTATCAACTTTTGTCGTTTAAGAGACTTTGGTGTGGATTTGAAAGAGTAAAGGTATTTATCCCAAATGACTTGGCCCTCTCTTTCTGTATCTGTGCTTCTGCTGACTGTAACCAAATCAAATTGTGGGTTCTTTTTTCTAACCTGGGGTCGATGGATTGAATTATACTCAACAGTATCCAAAGCATTAGAGATATTAACAATCTTATTCATTAATATTACGTTCTATTCTATTCAGTACTACATAATAAAGATTTTCCGAATAATCAAGTGGTCCCCCTTTTACCATTTTCTTGTTCTTGGTTTCATGCCAAAAGTGAAATTTTCCCAAAATTTGACAATGACACAGTGCCAGGAAAAGCCATAGAGGGTAAAGCTCTGTTGCATGGTAAAAGCTTCGCAGTTTGCAGGAATATTTTTCTTTTATCAGAAAAACTGGTGCATACAGCAAATAGGGCAATTATTCCACACCTAGAAAAGACCAGTTAGTTTATTATCTCAAGTCTCAAGAAATTGAATTTTCCATTTGGAGCTTCCAAAAGGAGTAAAGTACATCAATCAGAATTTTTGTTCATACGTTGTTTTTTGATTAATCCTTGCACGTTCAACTGTTCAAGATAGTAGACTCACAAATTTTGAGATGGTAACTTTGGATTTAAAATACTGAAAGCAAGAGGGTGTATAACAATGAAATGTAGCTTTAAGAAACTTTTGTCTCCTTTCATTTCGTTTCCCAAAAGAGCTAAAGGGAAAAAGAAGAGAAAAAGTTATATAAAATAGGAAGAATTCTACATGTTTACTATATATTTATATATACTACTTAGCCAGAGCAAAAGGCATTTTCTAAAAGTTGGTATTTTCACTGCGTGAATGGATGGATTATTGATATTCTATACTTATGAATTATTTGAGGAAATGGACAAATATGATCAAAATTATTGTTACTTCAGAGTAATCCTACATTGTGCTTATCTTTCGAAAAAAATAAAATAAAAGAGGAGCAAATCGCACATAGATTTATAATGGTACACTCTTGATACGGCTTAAAGAATTAAGTTTACTTGTCACTTGAAGCTGCACAAAAAATTGATTGGGAGAATGATGTACAAATATCATTAACTACATAGTTTAGTGAGCGAAAATCTATTTTTGATTATGATTGAGCCATGTAGACGTATTACTCTGCGACGCCAAATCATTTTATGGATTGCTTCTTTCGCCATCAAAGTATCTTGGTACCTGTTCATATTTGATCACCCAAAGCTCACATAGAGGCACCGACGAGAGGATCCATCTAAAGTTTCATTTACCGATTATGAACAATTCTTCACATAGCTGACTGAAATTAACTTTTGACCTTTAAGTGCAATATGCAGTCC